ATCTTAATACTTCAGCATACCAAGACATTTTGGACAATTGTATGCTTCCAAATTTATGGGAACCATTTGGTAAAGGCCCTTTTTTGTTCCAGCATGACTGTGCCCCAGTGCACAAAGCATGGTCCATAAAGGCATGGTTGGGTAAGTTTAGTGTGGAAGAACTTGACTGGCCCACTCAGAGCCCTGACTTCAACCCCATCAAACACCTTTGGGATGAACTGGAATGGAGTTTGCGAGCCAGGCCCTTCCGTCCAACATTAGTGTCTAACCTCACAAATGCTCTTCTGGATGAATGAGCAAAAATTCCCATAGACACACTCAAATCTTGTAGAACGCCTCCCCAGAAGAGTTGAAGCTGTCATAGCTGTCATAACCTGCTCCTTATTAATGGCTATGGATTTAAAATGGGATGTCATAAAAGCTCTTGTAGGTATAATATTTAGGTGTCCCAGTACTTTCGTCCATATAGTATGTGTATATCTCGTTTTCTTTTGTGCATCACACATTATTTGTGAATCTAATGTAAATTTTGTGAGTCTTGTGTTAATTTTTTTGGGGGGGATTTAAACCCAATTATCTCTCAATTTAGTCATCGCCAATTCCACCCGCTAGTTAGGACTCCCCAGTCACACAATACTATCAATGCTAGGAGGGCGAAGGCTAACAAAGGCTTCCTCCGAGACCTGTGAAGCCAGCCACCGCTTCTTTTCGAACTGCCCGCTCACACAACGTCATTGGACAGCTGAACGTGCTCAGAGGAAAGCACCAACCGCCAGATCTGTTACATCAGCTAACCGACGCCTGCGCTGACTAGCATCGCGTTAAGTGATGGGGGAGAAGGAGGGGCCATCCTACCCACCCAGAGAGAGTGAGGCCAGTTGTGCTCTCTTGGACTCCCAGCTACGGATGGCTGTAGCATCACCAGGGATCGAACTCGCGATCTCCTGATGATAGGGCCAACGCTTAGACGGTTGTACCACTCGGGAGCCCTGTCTTTTGTTATTTTTATTACAATTATGAAACAAATATTACCCCATATTAGTCTGTAAGCAAATGATGTGTTATACCTACAGCAGTGGCATAACTAGAGGAGGGGCAGGGTGGACGGTTGCACTTATTAAGGCTTCTCCAGGCTCAAACTGCCTATGACGCTGAGAGGTTTTTCGACAGGTAGTCTGACTTGCGAACTAAAGCGCAGAACAGCAACATCCATTAATATGTGGAAAAATCTCTGCCCCACCCCAAACTTGTGTTCTTCTGTCAGTATTCTTCTAACCTACATAACTAAAAATAAATAACTTCACTGCCAAACAAGACATTTTTTATTATTTACTGTATTTTTATTTATTTGTATTTATTCCATTGTTTTATATCAGTGCAAATCACCTCATCACCATATCCTTCAAGATGTCTGAGTTATATTCTGTCAACTTCAAGGCACTGTTGAAAACAAAAGAGAATGCTTTATACTGACAGATAAACTTGTCTATTTCTCTGCTTGGAAGAATAGCAATTGTAAAAATGTCAGTCTTTTCAAAAATACTTCCTCACCATGATCCCTGTTTAACCACCCACTTGCTAGTTCAAGTTCTACTGGAAAAACAAAAACCTACAGTCAGTACACTTCAAAAAACAAAGAACTAGCACTGAAATTTCACATATACTATCTAGCAAGCCAACTGCAATATATCTATATAAATAGGACCTGAAGCCTGCAAGGAATTATCAGACCTTACGTTTTTCCATCCCACAATAAAATGGCATTATTGTTTCCTCAATACTGTCATAGACACAATTCTGATGGCCTGGTGAAATGATCAAGATCACTAATTGCTGACACCATGTAGATACACCACAATATGGCTTAACCCCAACTTTCTACTAAACAACTCTCCACTAAACTTGACTACATGGTAACAGGAAAGAATTACACATCTCCATCATGTTTTCAAGGACAGTACCTTTTATTTCTTTTGATGATTTGATTTGGAATTTCAGTATTGGGAGAGATCAGTTTTTACAGTACCTTCAACTTAAATCTGTACTGAAGTCTGAAATAAAAATTACAAATAATCTTAGAAAGATCAAAAATGCATATTTTCCAACTACTTCTCTTGCACCTATAAAATGTGAGAGATGGCAGCTATTTTGAAAAGGCAGAACTCCTGTTGCAAATGACACACCCCAACAAATGATATATCATTGGAAAAGCCAGGATGTCCTCTACATGGTGCACCAGGTGTCAGCATTGTAGCTCCTGTCCCTCACAAAGGACAGAAATTAATTACCAGGTCTTACAAGGACATATTTGTTCTATTAAATAGAGTGCAAAAAAATAGACATAAGCCGAGCAAATATTTCAGCTTCTTGCTATCATCAGTGGTCGTGAAGCAACGCTCTCAACCTGTGTAGGTTCTGCAAGAGCCTTCTTAAAGTGACAGTATACCAGGAAGACAGTATACTCAGTTGCAAAAACAAAAATCAGATACATCAAAAACATCAGAAATCATTTCAAAATATAATACATTAATCAAAGATAATCTTTTTTGCCATTGGAGATAAAAGTTCACAAATCCAAAGGCTTCACTCTGTAATAATATTTTGTCCTGATCTCCTGTGATGATATATGCTGACACACACACACACATACACCATGCATATACACAATTATATGCTTTTTCCACACACACACACACACACACACACACACACAAACACACGCACACACTCTTGTACTGGCTACCAAACCCCATTCAATATGTATTATCATTATTTATCATTGTTATGATTATTGTTACAGTTGCTCTCCTTGGAAAAGCTATTGCTAGTGTTCTGATTATATAATTAAATAAAGTTGTCCTCGAAGGGGGTGGACTGTAAAATTTGCTATATAAATACAATGATTAACAATTTAAATGTATTTTTTTCCCATTGTATGCAACTATTAAAGAACAAGTTTAAAGTGACCAAACTGACTGACTGGTTAAAAAAGCATGATTCTCAAGTAGCCCATCAATTTTGACAGATGTATATCATTAGGGGTGCTGTAACTGTTAAATAACTGTTTCTCATGATCTGTACATTTGATCATGTTGATTTTGCATGCTGCATCTTTGTGATGGGTTTCAGGTGAGTTCCAAATGATGACTTGATAAATCTAACTGTATGGCCACCAACAGCTAATCAGTTTTCAGCAAGCATTTGCAAGGCTTAACATTGACAAGTCATCATGAAACCTGAATAGTATGTCTATGTAGGCACTTTGTAATTACCAACAGTTTCAAAAGATTGGTCACTAGGGGGTGCTATTCATAAAAATCAAGAATATCCTTTTATATATTACATATTTTTGCTTATGGTCAGATAACTCATTTCAGATAATGCAGTACAGTGTTCCAAACAACTTTGCAATTATATGTTTATTGTGTTTCTTCTTATTAGGGTCCAAGCACACAAGGCGTAGGACACTTTTGCAAAAAACTAATAATTTGTGAGTTTTTCTTATTATTATTCTGATTATTATTAAGGGTCCAAGCACTATAGGTCTGTGGAACCCTATTGCTTTTGCTAGGATTTTTTTCTTATTAGGGCTCAGGAACACAGTGTGTAGAACCTTACTGTATTTGCTAGGATTTTTTAGGGGTCCAAGCTTCATAGATGTGTGTAACCCTATAGTGAGCTGAAACGTTGCATGCTGCATTTTTGGGATACTTTGTAAGTTAGGTTTTAAGAACAACTCAATAGTTGGACAGATTTGGCCACCATTGGTCATTAGGTTTTCAACAGGCATTTGGAGGGCTTAGCTTTGGCCAGTCAAAATGGAACGATTTGTCCACAGAGGGACTCACTAATAACCTATCAAGTTTTTTCATGCTGCTCCCTGGATTTTTATTGCATCCTCTCAAACTTTGTATTGAAACATCCGGTGCTGTCTCAATGTCAATCATTATTAAAAAAATATTGCCTTTTAAGCAGGGTATGATTTCATGATATCATTTTGACTTGCCTGACACAAGGGGCTATAAATCCATCAGTGATGCTCTCTGATTGTGACCAAATATGTTAGGTACACAAAAACCAGCTGAGGAAGTATTTAAAATTTGACTTGAATCAGCCTCAGTTGGCTCTTACAAGTTTCAATGAACTACCAACAATCTGAAGTATGGTTATTTCTTTTTAAGATTAAAGAAACGCTAATGGCAATAAGATTTAAATATATGTATGTCCCTAAATCTCACAGTAAGTGAGGAAAATTGATTTCAGTCCTTATATAGTTGGAAAATTTATGTTTTCTCACCTCAGTACTTTGAAAAGTGCTTCATCAAATGCCAGATAGCACTCATTGTTATGGCAGCTGTGGATTGTACAGCGACATGACCATTGTGTTTGTGGTATTACATTTTGAAGTAGGATGTATAAGAACACTGTCACAATAATATGGTTAGATATTTAGAGAATTATTGCATCTTATGTGGTGGTGTACAGGTTTTTTAATAATTGTTTCTTTTTTTTTTATTGTTTGTAATACTTATATTTTACAGGTCCCTACTGTAAAAATGCTTTTCTCCACCAAAATAACTATTAGATAAATAAACAAAAATAGGAAGTGTACTGGATTTGAATGACATTTGGTGAAAAATCACTACACTCACTATTTATTAATTTCTTTTCATTTGTATATCTCAGTTGTGTGTCACTTCGTGTCTGTATGCATTCAAGTTCACAAAGAAAAAAAGGTCACGTCAAATAGATGACAGTGAAATTCCTCATGTCTTTTTCTTAACTCTTGTCATAAGGCAGAAGTTTTTATACATGCAAGTTCCAAGAATCAGAACATCTAATTTTTTAATTATTAGGTTGTTCATACATGTTTTGGCTGGGGAAAAGCTTCAATTTTTGCATTTATTCTCACAGCACAACAGATTAGAAAGCAACACCAAATACATCAGGATATCTGATGTTTACATTTCTTTCTTTCTTTTTTTTTCCCCCTACCACAGTTAATTGGATGTATCATTGGCCGGCAAGGAACGAAGATAAATGAGATCAGGCAGATGTCGGGAGCTCAGATTAAGATCACTAATCCTGTGGAGGGATCTTCTGACCGCCAAGTCACCATCACCGGCTCAGCAGCCAGCATCAGTCTAGCAGAGTACCTCATCAATGCCAGGTTTCTTACTCTGTTTTGCAGTCACATTTACATACACACATGCACAATTTTCATATTTTGTTAAGACCTTACTTTAGGTTGTCTGCATCACTATTGGTTCATGGTCATGGTGTCTAACTTGGCAGTAGACGTTTGCCTTGTACTTTTATTTCAGTATATGTCTTTACGTCAGTGTGTGCTGCTGTCCTGTCATCCTGAATGCCTCAGCCTCCTCCGTACTCACAACCTACCCTGTAACCCATCCCAATTGTATCCCTTTTTATCCCCTCTTCTTTCTCTTTCTGCAGCATACCGTCTTCTAAACCTACCTCCTTCTACCTGAACCCTGAACAGGCCCTCAGCTCCAACTTGTACCCTCCCCTCTCTACTTGCACCTTACCTGCTGCTGCTGCTGCTGCTACTACTACTACTGCTACTTCCTCTTCCTCCTCTGTATTCCCCTCTTCCTCCTGTGTGGTGATGCCTTCCGTCTCCATTTCCCTGTCCTCCCTTTTGGTATCAAGCCCTGGTCCTTCCTCCACCTCCTCTTCCTCTGCGTCTCTCTCTTCCTCCTCAGCCTGTGTCTCTAGTGTGCTCAGCATCAAGCCCCTGCCCCTCTTGTCACTTCATGTTGTTAATGGCCTGTCTCCTGAGCCTAAACTTAGTCCTGAGCTGGCCTCCAAGCCCAAGAAGCGCAGACTCTCACCATATTAAGAAACTTAATTTAAAATGTACTGATTTAGCTCTGTGTTTGAGTTTCATGTCTGGCTATGTTGTAGATGATGTGATAAAATACTAGGACTGCAGCAAACATTTGATAATTGAAGATTTGAATAACAGTGTTGGAGTTTTAGAGTTCAAATCTGATGTAATAGTCTCTGTCTTAAAGCAGGCAAAGTCTAAGTAAGTTTCTGGCTGCTAATAGCTAATTGTAAATTTATTTCTGAGACCAAATGAGAGTGCACTAGTTGCTTGGAGCAGTAGGAGATATACCCGAAGACAATACCAACATGTAATACAGTCCTAGGTCTCTTAAAACACTTACTTCATAAACACTTATCCCATAAACATTGCAACCTAGAGTCTCCTGGGGTATATTCAGATTAGTAAGCATTAACTGTAGAACAGCACTATGGGCTCAAAAAGCCATCCCAGCTGCTACAATATAACATCACTTCCCGCTCACTGAAAGAGCAGACCAAACACATTGTTTCTTCTTTTTAAAAAGACAGTTAAAAAGATGTTTCCATTGCTTATATGTTTCACGTTTCAGCCTTTTTCTTTGTATTTTACAAAGACAGAGTTGTCACATAATTTGCATTGTACTACATTATTTGCTCAAAGGGTGTAAAAGAATAAACCATGAAAAACAACGTATATTGCTGCTGTATTCATTAGGTAGTCATGATGCTTCCTTGTGAGTCACAAAACAATTCATTTTAGTTACTGTAATAAACCCATTGTGATTTAGAACTTTTATCAAAGCACAGCATAATCTCATATTATTTTGGAATGTCCCTAGGATCACATCTTACAGCAGACCATGTAATTCTTCAGTAGGTTCTCCCAAAAACATGTAGTGACTTACATATCCATAATCACTAGCAGTGTTTTGTATTTACACATTGTCTTTACCAAATTCCAGAAAATTATGCGTAGCTTGGATAAAAATGAGCAAAAAGGCCATGACAAAATTTCTTGGTTATCATTGAAGGTAAACAAGAATCTTTCTGAGAGATACAGTTTTAAAAATAAACATTTTTCCCAAATTCAGATTATCAATACTGGCTCCCCTGCATTACTTTGTGCACCCTTTCTATTGTAACACTGGTTGAAATATGAGTACACACATAAATATGGCAAGCCATTTTAGCTTTTAATCCTTTTTTTCTTGATATCAGGGAATAAATTTACACATGTGAAAATTTAATTCTTACTAGTAAAAATGTAATTTTTGATATCTAGAATTTAATTCTAACTAGTAAAAATCCATTTTTGATATCAAGAATTCAATTTTACTAGTTCAAATTTATTCAAATGAGCCAGTAAGGTGTCTGTGTAAATCTATCCAATAGTGGCCCATTGTCACTGCTAGTGGGAGTGTTTCCACAGCCCCATGGTTGCCAAGTCTGCAGCCTGCTTAGAAATTTAAGGTTTTCAACGTAAAATGACAATGGATGAGAGTACACAGAATTATTTACTTTGATGTGTGCTTTTAAATGTTTATATATTCCTATACATTTACGGTAGCTTATATTTTTGAGTCTTCATTTATGAAGAGCTTTTGATTTTGCCATCTGTAACATTACTTACAAAGCTTTCTGGCAACCATGCTCCCATTAAGTGTTGTGTGCATGTCACAGTGGAGCAGATTCTTTGAAAGTTTGCAAGACAATAACATTTTAAATGTTTGTAAATATAAATGTTTGAATGTAGTGCAAGTTTTATTTTTCCTGATGACTTAAACATAATATATATTTATAGTACTTGCCGTTGTCTCTTTAAGAAAAGCACAGTGCAAATCATCCCCGCCTTCACATCCACATGCAAATCAAGCTAATTAACATTAGAACATGTAATAATTCAATTTGTACTAGTAAAAATGCAATTCTTACTAGTTAAAATACATTTTTTACAAGTGAAAATTTAATTTAACTAGTAAAAAAATTATTTTTGATATCAAGAAATATAATTTTTACTAGTGAAAATTCAATTGTTACCAGTAAAAATTCAGTTCTTCATATCAAGAATTCAGTTTTTACTAGTAAAAATGTAATTCTTGATATCAGAAATCGATTTTTTTTTACTAGTAAGAATTCCTGATATCAAAAATTACATTTTGACTTGTAAATTTTCAATTTTTACTAGTAAGCATTAAATTTTTACGTGTAAATTGAATTATAGATATCAAAAATCTAATTTCTACATGTGAGAATTCAATTTTTACTAGTAAGAATTCCATTTTCACGTTTAAATTGAATTCCTGATGTCAAGAAAAAAAGTATTAAAAGCTAAAATGGCTTGCCATAGTTTTTACTAAATTAAATTTAGTAAAATGCATTGTTTACATGTGTATATTGAATTCCTGATATCAAGAAAAAAAGGATTAAAAGCTAAAACAGCTTGCCATACATAAAGTGAACTTAGATCATTCCTCCATACTTCACAGTGCTTTTCTGCATGAATTTCCTTTGGTGTTTGTCTTTCTCCTGGGATCACAAAACCCAGTTGTCATATATGTGTTTTTGAGACAGATATTAATTTTTTTCCTGTGGATTTTTATATTTCTATGGATTTTAATATATATCTTATATTTTCCATGTAAAATCAAGCAGGTAAACACCATGAACTTTTTCTGCAGTTTTTTTTTTCTATTTTTTCCAAGGGTACATATAATTCTAAATGGTACTTGAAAGGATTTAAACAATAGATCACTTATGTTAGAGCTAAAGTTGTGATGAAGATCCACATCAGATTACACATCAGGTGTAAATGGATTATTTTGGACTGTCATGCAGTGCATTGTGTACTTGTTTCATATTGATAGCCATGAGTGCATCATTAGCTGCTCAATATGCATTCACAATTAAGCTCTACAGAACATAATGACATGTATAATGTAACCCTTATCATAAAGGATAGGCCTAACCATTATGTATTTGAGATGTTTTGTTTTTGTAATTCTTATGAGTACATAGTGCATATTTATTAAGACTTTTTTCTGAACCATATTTTACAGTGCTTATTGGAAGTACACACCTTTAAATGGTTCAATATTTTGCTCTGTTGTACTCAATAAGGGAGAGTGGAACACAACCTAACAAAGTTTGTTTTCGGCAAAATCATTTTAAAAATGTTTATGTATTTATATAGGGAACCTACACATCTCTGTTGCAAATGAAAAAGTAATCATTGTTTCAGCTGAAAGTAGCACCTGTGCAAATGTTAAATCTTACCCCGTAGGTGGTTAGTTTTAATACACTGAGAAGTTAATTGTAACATTCACTGGAAAGATCTGGTAAACGGAAACAAGCACAGTTAATTTTATATAGTTATATGTTGTTAGACAAGCTACTAGACCAGCTTTTCAACCTAAATACATTAAGATGCATACATAAAAATAAATAGACTAGTGATTAGAGACTGAGTCAAATGCTGGTAAATAAGCTCACTGGGCAAAAAAAAAAAATCAGTCACTTGAATAATTTTCTTTTCTAAAACTTGGTTATGCATCCCTTTGCCATAATAACAGCATCAGTCCCGTCAAGGTAAAAAATACACCAGTCTCTTGAGTTCGTGTCCATTCTAGCTTACTCTTTTAGTAACTGACCGTACATTTCAGACTGTTTCAGCATTTCATCAGCTGTTACAAACTGAGAATTGGGATTGAAGTCTGGTGGTATTGCTGGTTGGTCAAACTATCTCAGTGTTCCATCATGTTTGTTAAATCAGTCACATACAGATGTCCTAAATTGTAGGAATGTCAGTGTTGTGTTTTGTTTGGACATGAAGGTTTTGGAAGAGTAGGCTAAAATGGACATCTTGAGACTGGTGTAATCCTTACCTTACAGGGCTTTAGCCTAGCTCACTCAGAGTTGTTTATATGTCCTTAAAACGGTGCTATATTACAGCAACCATGAGGTTTATTAAAATAATATATGTATTAGTTCAGTGAGTTATACACACACTCAGTAATTGAAATGTTATTTTAATGGTACTAAAACAGTCTTCATGAAGAATCTGTAGAAACATCTTTCCAAATGCTATGAAAATTCACAGGTGTCAAAGCTATAGCAATAGAAAATTACCAAAAACACATTCATTTTGAATTTGTTTAAGTGCGCTACATTTTACTGCTGGTTAGGTTGTACCCTGCAATCCCTGTTTTTACCATAATTCATGTGATTGTTTACACAGTCAGTCTAAAAAAAAATATGCTGAAAAAAAATTAACAATTCTGTACTCATTACACAAGATTTTATGTGCGTCTGAACTTGGTTGTAAATTATGTCTTAAAGGTAGCACTTTCACTAGATGCTGTATGGGCAAGGTGTGTGAGCTTATTGAGATACTGCATTCATATATTAGTGAATGATTTTACATTTATAAGAAGTTAGATCATAATGTTGAAAACTGAGGTTTCTCAGTTTATTTTTCCACTAGGAATTTGTTTCTCTGATTCCCTCTGACTTCTAATGTAATATGGAACCCACAGTAATTACAGAATTTGGTTTTGAATTTCCCAAATGAAAGCTTATGTTCTTCCTCCTCTCTGTTTCTCCAATATGTTGCTCCAGGCTTTCATCTGAGGCTACAGGATTGGCGACCAACTGATACATGAATGCATCTGCCCTACTCTGAACACAGAAAACAAGAGCTGTCAGTGTTTCCTTTAACGCTAGCCATAATCCTTGCCCTTTTTATTCTTTATTTCTATTTCCTGTATGAATTATTGTTGAAAGTATATTTGAGTTGCAACTGTTAGTGAACTTTTTTGTTTGGAAATTTCATTCTCCTTATCTGTGACAAAAGAGCTAGGATGGAACATCTGAGTAGGTATAGATATAGTTTTGTAATTTGATGTGACTTTTTTCCTTACTAAGATCAAGTGAAAAACAAATAAAATAAATAAACAGATATTTTAAAATACATCCAATCACTGAACTCCCTTCTTCCTACTGACAACAGAGGATTGAAATTTGTAAATAAAATTTGCAAAGAAGAAAATGCACACTGGTGTATAGTGAAGATTGATTAGTGCATGTAGGCTGCTTCTGTTTCATTCCAAGGACATCTGGGGAGATCAGTAATGAATGTTTGTTTTTATTATAATTTGTTTAGTTCAGTGGTAAAATTAATAACTGGCTCTAAAAACTTGTGTTACAAAGGTGGCTTGAAATAGGCTCATTAAATGAGCCTGCTATGAAAGCACTACTTTTGCAATCAACAACCATCATGTGTATATATGATCACATCTTTTGATCAGTTAAAACTAATAGAAGCTGATTGTTTGATCATCAATATAATGTTCACTCTTCGTAACTATCAAACTGTCAAAGAAACTTTGAAGAAAATGAGCTGTGTATTAATTTATGTTTTTGTAAACATGTATATATGTATATGTATATCTGTGTATATTAGGGGTGGGAATCTCTAGGCACCTCACGATTCGATTCGATTACAATTCCGGGGGCTGCGATGCGATTATAAAATGACTATCGATGCATTTCGATGCATCTTTTTTTTCTATATAGCATTTATATTTTCTCACTGTGTGAGCTCAAGTTTCGAGTTCAAGTTTCAAGTTTATTTGTCATTTGCACAACATGCCAGGACATTTATGCATTGAAATGCTTGTGGTGAGGCACAGGTAATCACTCTACAGAAAGTAAGTAAGTAAAAATAACAATACAAGAAAAACCAACTGAAATATATTAAATATACACAAAATATACACAGAATATAGACAATATTCTATTTTAAAGTGACTGTGACTCTGTGTTATTGTTATTTAAAGTGATTTTGTACTTTTAAAGCAAAGTATTTGTAATGATCCATAATGAATTTACTTCCAATATCTTTTTTAATAAAACAAATGGAATTGATGTGGCAAGTGAACTAGAAGGCTCTCATTCAGTGCTCTTGTTTGGAGCACGAGAAGCTGCTGCTACTCATCTGCGATAAAATGCGCAGTTACGGTGAAATAAGATCCAGTGGTAATGGATGTCCACGCAGCACAAGTTACAGCTATTATACCCGTTTTCTTTAGTCATTTTATGACTTCGGTTTTGGTCTCGTAGAGACGGGGGGATCGCTGTGTCAGTAAAATATCTTTGAGACGGG